CTTAGTGTGCCCGACGGGACTGCCTCCTATGACGGTTCTCATGTTCAAGCGTGAAGTCCTTATATTTTGAGAAAGAAATGAAGTACTCGAGGGGCTTTCTATTAACTCGAAAAGAAAGCACGGTCAATACGAACGACTTAGAGTCCTTTTTTTTTTTTTTTTTTTAGACAACCATCAATAAAAAACAGACTTGGTATTTCTTTTTTTCTTTTTTTTTTTACAAATCAACTTTGCATTCCATTAACAGAGAGAAAAAGGAGGTCGGGAATCCCTCCACAAACAACCCGGAAAAGAAGTCTCAACTCTGGGACCATTACCCAGCTTATGGTGCAGGCGTTGGGGATTGTTGTGACGAACTAGCTTCTGTAATGCGTGACTTTCTGTGCGAAGTGTTAAGCGGGGTCCCACGTCGATTGGACCGGTTGATGGAAAATTGCATGTGTGTCCTTGCTTTCTTTGTTGTTTCTTCGTTCGCACATGAACCCCTGATGACAGTTGGGGACAATTCGGGAATGCACGGGGAAAAGGGGGTGAAACTTGGTCGGATGGATGCGGAGTGCGCGCTGAGTGCGCGATTAATAAACGTTGACGTCGCTTCTTTTCTTTTGTTTCCCTTCTTTTAATTTTGTTTTGTCGAACTTTTGGGCGCGCAGACATCGCGCGGGAATTTCGGTGTCTCTTTTTGAATTTTCTTCTTGAATTTTCGTTTCGAATCTTGGTCGGAGCCATACGGCCTTCGGAATTTTGATTTTCTTTTTTGGACCTTTTCATCGGCAGGCTGGCTAGGAATTTTGGAATTTTGGAATTTTTGTTTTTCTGGGGCGCTGCTTTGTGTGTTCACGCGCTCTTTCTTGCTGCTGCGCCAGGACCTTGATTGATTGGCGCCTTAATCATTTTGCAACTGTAATTTTGGGTGCACACTTTTGTAACTGTATCTTTATGTTTCTTGCTTCTTATTCTTCCCGCCTCGTTTCTTCCTCTCTCCCCTTCCTTGCTGGGTAGCCGCGTTTGCATGTTCGGATCGATGCGTGGAGTTGGGTACGTCCCCCACGCCGAGGCCCGACCGTGCAAATGTAAGCACTCCCTTTCTCCCATCTATCTACATCCTTGTAATTTCGTGTTCTTCGCGCATGCATGCACGCTATAAATTTCGGCTGCGCGATTAACCTTCTCTCTTAACAGTTGCTGGAAGCTCGGGG